CTCTCTAGGCTGTCATGGAAATTCATACATCTTGCCCTGCTCGTACGCGCGCACATGCGCCCGCCCGCACTCCTCATCATTGACAACCCCGAGTTCTATCAGTATTGTTCAGGATAGACTTGGCTAATGCAAGCAAACTGTGAGCCAATAGACAATTTGAAATCATCCAACGACCATAGTTTTGAAAAATAAACTAACATATTTTATAAATTTAAACCCGAGGGTCAGTGTGTGGGGGTCAAATCTAGCTGGTCCGACTCTGATTTATTTGGGTCTTTGCTGGTTTATAGGCTCACCGCCACACCAAGCGCTTTTGAGTGCTCTCTGGTCGCATTTGCCTTACAGCAGTACAGCTGAACATCTGTGTGGGTGGGGCCAGCTGACTGCCAGCCGGACAACAATCACTCTAGGCCTTCACAGGAAAACTGACTCAAACAGTCCGTCATATCAGTCTTAGAATTATTGATGGGCTTGTTCATATTCCCTACCGTACTCAATCTTCAAAAAGCAAACACAGAGACACACACACCCAGGTGCCTTTTATCCTCAGAGACTATATCAGCGTGCATAAGGCATTTTAATGTGCTCAGTGACACACCTGTGACTCACAAATACCAAATTGGAGATGCAGGCTTAGAAAAAAAATGCGTGCAAATTCCATATGGGTGTTTGCTAAATACATAGACAGCCTATCCGCCTGCCCGCCTTTCCCATCTCTCTTCTTCTATCCCCTTTCCTGTGTGCATTTCTGTGTGAATGTGTGCACACACGTGTGCATGGATCTGCACGCCTAAAGCCAAAAGAGGTGAGAGCGTCATCCTCTATCGCGTCTCATCTGTTTCTCTGAGGCAGGCTCTGTGTGAACTTAACCCCAGTGCTGCCCTGCTGGGGCTACAGGATGTTACAAAAACGCAGGAATCTAAACTCTAGTTCACACGATTACACAGCAAACATTCTTGACTGCTGAGACATTCCTCCAGTCCTCCTCCTTCCCCAACTTTCTTCTTCCATTTTGGTACAGAGTCTCAGGTATTGTAGGTGGCCTTGGGTTTGCTGTGCAAACAAGGTGGTGACTTTGGACTTCTGATCCTTCTGCTTCCACATTCAAGCGCTGTGGTTATGGGACTGTTTCATCAGGCTTCCTGTATGTGGTGCTGGGGGCCTAAGGGTTGAACCCAGGACCTTATGCAAGCCAGGCAATCAGTCTACTATCCAAGCTAAGTGTCCACCCCTCAGTCCTTTTTGGCTAGTTTTCTAGGGAGATTTTAGGCATAAAAATTAGGGATTGTTGTAATAATAGCGGCGGGCTGTGTCCCACCACCCGGCTAGCTTTACCCGAAATAATTACATGGAAACTGTATTCTTTTAAACACTGCCTGGCCCATTAGTTTCAGCCTCTTAACCCATTTCTAATAATCTGTGTAGCCCGCGAGCTGGCTTACCAGGAAAGATCTTAACCTGAGTCTGCCTGGAGTGGGAGAATCATGGCAACTCCTTGACTCAGCTTCCTTCTCCCAGCATTCTGTTCTGTTTACTCCGCCTACCTAATTTTATGTCCTATTAAAGGGCCAAAACAGTTTCTTTATTTAACCAATGAAACAACAGATAGAAAGATGACCCTCCTCCATCAAAAGTGTGATGTTGTTTAGTGACAGAATGCCAGTGACCTGCTGCAGGGAGCTTTCTCTGTGCTCCGAAGCTATTCACCTTCCTCACCACAGCCCTCCTCACTCTGTGAGTTCCAAGATATGCCCTCCTCTGTTCCAGGAGCCCAGCCAAAGCCTTGCGCTTTCAATCCAATGGCCCCAGAGAACCCAGTGAGTTACTGGTGTTTGAATAAATTCAGCAGGTGTGTTTGTCCAGCAACTCTGCCATGTCAGGCTGTTGTGTGAGTGCCAAGGCAGCCTATTCCCACCATGGTCCTTGGTCACACTGTCTGCCTTTTCCTCTCTCTCTCACTCAAGATTGTTGTCAAGATTGATGAGGGAAAACCAGGTAAGTTAGTTGTACTCAGTGTTTTATGTGGTCTGGTTGTCTGAGAGATTTCAGGGTAATGAGCAAACTAGTGAAGGCCTGGAGAATTCCCCTGGCGGTGGCTCCTGTGAGACTCGTTTGTCCAGTTCACTCTCTGTTCAGACGGAGGGGCTGCCCCCTTTTGACTAGGATGGAGAGCTCCATAATGCCCTGGGTTAAGGAAAACCCGTGAACATTTTGGTTTTTGCAAAGAGCTATGAGAGGGTTTGGGATCCCTACAGATGGATGTCTCCTAAGCAACAAGATAACTGCGATGGCAGTATGTGATGGGATTTCATGGATCACTATTTCCATGTCTGGGATTATGCCTGGGAGTGCTTTCCAAGAGAAAAGAGGAAGACCCAGTAAGATGGCTCCGATAATGGACCCTGTAAGGACTTGCTATCAGAGGGCAGGGGTAATGCCCTGAATTAGGAGTATGTTGAAGTCCTCACCGACAGTGTCTCATGCTGTCACCTGATTTAGAAACAGTAGGTGACATCATCTAGAGTGGTGTGGGCCCCAGTCCAACATGTCTGAGATCCTTATACAGCGGGGATGTGAGGACAGGTCACCCTGACCCATGTGACACTGAAGGCAGGTTAGAGCAGCACTGTGGCAAGCCGAAGAGGACAAGCCTGACCTCAAGGCATGAGAGGCATGAAGGAGGCAGGAAGGGGCTCCTCTTCCAGATCCAAGGGAGCATGGCTCCGTGGAGCCCTTGGTTATTGGACCTCCAGCCTTGAGAACGGCAACACAGTGAATTTCTGTTGTTCGAGGTCTCCTAGATTTTCATAGCCTAGGAAAACTACTACAGGAGGATACAGGGAGTTTTATATTATGGCCATGGCTCCAGGATAGCACACACTGGTTGTGGAAGAGATGGGCTAGATGTTTAGAGGTTCTTTCTCTTCATTCCTTCCCGGGTTAAGAGTGGGTATGCCGGCTGGCTTGGCTACTCATGGTTCTGGAAGCCGTGGGAAGTTCACGCGAGAGTTCCAGGTCAGCCTGAGTTCTACATAAACCCTTACCTCAGAAAAATCAAGTGAACAAAACCCCCACATATTTCCAGTGTCTTTACACTCTCTCTCTTTCTTCCCTTTCCCCTGGACACAGAGGACTCTAAAATGATTCTAATGTGTGTCATTGCCAGAGCCACCAGATGAGGGCAGTGTCTCCTCTAGATGAGTACCTAGGAAGCTGTTCACTCCACATTAGACTGGACTCTGGTGGGACAAATACATCTTCGATGAGTCTTTGAAAATGAAGGAAAAAGAAACGTATCTTTATTTGTTTAAATAGTTGGGACGTAGGGGCTGCTTGTTGCAGCACATGAAGCAGGGCATCTCTGACTGATGCAGGGGCGAGGGAAGCCACCAGAGAAGATGGCAAGTTCTTCCCCGAACTGTAGGATACACTGGGACAGAGCAACTCTCCTAAAGATCCCATCAGTCCATTGTAGAGAAATAAACACTAGGAGATCGTTGCTTTCCTTAGCATTTTGTGGGCTAAGCCAATTTCTCCACTGTCCAGTCTTGCTGATGCAACTTTGCATCTCATTGTCTTCCCCGGGAAAAGGAGCAGCATTGCTAGTGATGGCAGGGTGGGGGCAGCTTTGTAAGGAGTGGAGTTCTCTGTGTGTAGACGGGAGCCACAATATAGGCCAGCAGTACACGCCAGAGGTGTACGTCTGTGGTCCCTTCTTCACGTCACTCTCAGCCAAGGAAGTGGGGCTCAGCAGAACACGGAGCATCACCCACCTGGCTGGTCCAGATAGGGAAAAGGAGCCACCGAGGCCTTTCCCAGGCCAAGTTCACATGAGGTCATCTGTCCGCCGCGGAACATGGAAAATGCTACTTTTGATGTAAAACGACTTGGCGATGGATTGACTTCTGGCATGAGCTGGAGTACTGTAGTTTTTCATGACATCCCCTGGAACACAGCAGAGGCCCGGATGAAAAGGAGTCATCACCATCCTCCTGCTAGACTTCCCCACCTTCAGGAGGCAACTCTTCAGTCATGCAGGAGTAGCCACTGCCTCTCCATGTCCGTGGCCCCTTCCTAAGGATGCTCAGAACTCGTGTCCCGACAGCTAAAGGCTAGTGTGTGCACAGCGTGGAACGTCAAGACCTTGCTCTGGCCCCATCAGGATCTGTGTTTGCCAGCACTTAAATCATTCCAGCCGCTAACCAGCTGGGCCCTTCACCCAACTCCAAGCTCATCCACCATGCTTCACCTTCCTGCTACAGTCAGACTGTCCCACTATCCCACTGAACAGCAAGGTCTCTAGGGGCTGCCTAAGGCCAAACGAGATCCTCAGATGCCCTCCACTGCAGATCCTGCCTGTTGAACCAGTAGTAACAGTCATAATTTAATAATAACACTAATAAATATAATGCTTGTTACCGCTTTATTGTGCACTTACTATGTGTGAGGTATTAGTCAGTTGTTTTATATATACATAAGGAAATTTCTGACCGACCCAGCTGGGACCCAGATAATGTCCCGACTCTTTCCTGTGCCTTCTTTGCACCCTCTTGGATGAGCTGCACTCTCTGTTTAAAATTAGGGTAGGGGACAGCATCAGTCAGCAGAAGGTCTTTTATCTGTTCCCCAAGTGACTCCTGAATTGGGTTTGAGTTCAGGCTGGGATATCAGAGGTTTATGAAATGTTCTAGAGATTCTGGGAGGAGCTTTGCGCTTAAGCAGACGACGGTCTGCCTTCTGGCTACAATCCAACATGACCCTCACAGTCAGCGAACATTCAGAAGCAGGCTACCAGCATGGCTACTGACATTCTCGAGTCTGGGTTGCTAGATAAAGCATAGACTACCCATTCACATTTGGATTGCAGAGAGTTATGAATAATCTTTAGAGTATGGTCATACCATATTTACTGTACACTCACACAAAAAGTTATTTGTTACCTAGAATTCAAATGAGCCTTTGTATCCTGTGTGCGTATTTGCAAAATCTACCAACACAGCGTGTTTGCAGGCAGTGAGCGTGGGCCTGTGAGGCAGAGCAGGAGAGGAGGTGCTGGCCACTTCACTGAGATGCTCTCTGTGAGTTCAGGCCAGCAGGTCCTTTTTGGAAGAACACTATGCAAAGTCGCTACCCAGGACAAGACTCTATAGGGGGCCTTCTTGTTTTCTGTCTGCCAGAATAGTCCCCCAGTCCTGCTCCTCATATCCTGAGTTATCTCTTATTCTCACAGCTTTGATGGTCAGTGTGGTTCACAGACAGGCAGCATCAGCAGCATCTGGGAGCTAGTTAGATGTGCAGAAACAGGCCGAGGTTCAGTGTGGAGCACTTGCTTAGGATGTGTACAATGGCCTGTATCCCATCCCCAACTTTCGACAACTGACTCCTATGCCCTGTAAGGACCAAACAAAACCAAACCAAAACCTCACAATATGGCTGCTGCCTGCGCCTACAGTCTATATCTACTTCTTGTCTGCCTTTCATGGAGTCAGAGATTATGTTTGTTTTGCTCTCTGGTTCATGCCTAGGGACTTCTGCCTTAGCAGCTTCTGTAGACTCACCAAGCTGCAGAAGCACCAAGTGGGCTCAGTGAGTCTGCCTAGAAGGCCCTGGGAAGGTTTCCTAGCAGAGATAGCATGTAGTGAAGCCTGGTAAAGGAAGGGGAGGTGGGGCAGTGGTGGCGCATGCCTTTAATCCAAGCACTTGGGAGGCAGAGGCGGGCAGATCTCTGTGTTCGAGTCCAGCCTGGTCTACAAGAGCTAGTTCCAGGACAGGCTCCAAAGCCACAGAGAAACCCTGTCTCAAAAACAAAAACAAAATAAACAAACAAACAAAAATAAAAGAAGGAGGAGGAGAAGGAGGAAGAGGAGGAAGAAGAAGAAGAAGAAGAAGAAGAAGAAGAAGAAGAAGAAGAAGAAGAAGAAGAAGAAGAAGAAGAAGAAGAAGAAGAAGAAGAAGAACGGGAGGTAGGGTGTGTTCTAGGGAACAAGCCAGAAACCATGTGCAAATAGGAGGTCTCCTGGTCCACTTGTAGGGTGGTGAGCTCATTTGGTTCTTTGTGTCAGGAGCGAGATGATGAAGAGTGAGGTTGGGGAGGAAGAGTGCATGGTCTTACCCACATGCCAGCCATACTCCCAGGAAGACACCATCGGGTACTTGTACTTCTTCTCTGGTATCAGGCGATTCCGCTCCTTGAGGTACAGGGTCCGGCCCTGGCCATCATGGGAGATGCCTTGGAAGAGCAGCTTCAGGGTGGCTGGGGTGGGGTGCCTCATTTCCAAGTCCTCTGGCCTGCCTTGGGCTGCTGAGTATCGAGGAAATCCCCTGGGCTGCCTCACTCTGTCTCCCTGGACACCTCCTGTTTTGAACAGCTGGTCCTGGACCCCCTTGGTCTCTGGCCATCTCGCCTGTACCTCTTTTCTGACAGGGAAGCCAGTGGCAGGCACTGGGCCTGCTTTCAAGACTGACCCACAGGGTGCCTGCCAGGCCTGTTTCCTGGTTCTGGACCCCTCTTTCAGGTACTTGTGACCATAGCGGATATTCCAGGTGGCCCGAGCAACCATCTCCTTCTTTATTCGCTCTCCCCAAGCGCCCTGGTTTGAGGAGTCGAACATCTCCCTCATGCTATGGAGCCCAGAGGTGGGAAGGAAGATTCTTCTTCTTGAAGCTCATCTGTGTTTGGATGGATGGTGTCTGTCTCCAAGGAAACATGTAGCCAATGAGAGTCAAGTTGCCAGGGCTGCTTAGACAGCCCTGCTATACAGGACAGGGTGGGATCCTGAGGGGACTAGCGTCACCTACTGCTAAGCCAGGCCAGGTCAAGTTGAAAGAGAAAGCAGACCACGGTCCAATAAGATGGCTCCGTGGGTAAGGGTTCTGTCATGTAAGCCCAGTCAATGGCCTGAGTTCCGTCCTGGAACTCAGGGCAGAGGGAGAGAACTGGCTCCCAAAAGCTGTCCTCTGACTCCTTCAGGCGTCTCCTCACACACGTCACAGGACACACACACATGCACACATACATACACACACATACACACACATGCATGCACGCACATACACAAGCACACTTAGTTTTTTTAAAAAAAGATTTGTTTGTTTGTTTATTATGTATACAACATTCTGCCTCCATGTATGCCCACACACCAGAAGAGGGTGCCAGATCTCATTACAGATGGTTGTGAGCCACCATGTGATTGCTGGGAATTGAACTCACGACCTCTGGAAGAGCAGCCAGTGCTCTTAACCACTGAGCCATGTCTTCAGCCCGCACACTTAGTTTTTAATAATAAATTTAAAAAAAGAAAGCAGAGCCTGGACCCATGACCCTTCCGGGGTGACAAGTGGCAGGTGGGGGTGTCCCATTCTTTACCAGGGAATCATATGCCAAGTATTCCCAGGGGACACACAGGAGTCATGCCTTCTTCCACACAATGGACCCTGAGGTGACCTGCTATATACCAGGCACCCAGATGAACTAACGGAAGGTCCATCCCCTACCGTCTTGAAGCTTGGGTATGTGGCTAAGGGGAGTGTCGTGGCAGTTCTGTAGTCTCACCCATCAGAGGCTCAGCCCTGCCACCTGCTAGCTAGTAGCCCGCCTATCTGTGCATATGACGACGGTGGGAGCAGACTTTAGTATGAGAAGAGTGTCTCGCGGTGTATAAAGCCCTCGGGCAGATTCTGATTTGTGGGGCAATCTCCATTAATGCCAGCTGGGATGTACTATGTACCTGCCTGACCGGGCACTATGCTGTGCTCTGAGGCCTTCAGCCATCTCCTTATTCACGACCAGACCACTGCTGTTTCACAAAGGCCCCAGACTGGGCCCTTTGCTTCTTTAGCACACTGCTTACAGGTGTCCAATCAGATGTGGAAAATGGGGGGGGGTGTCCAGTGACATTAAATGCTTGCGCTGGGACAGGATCCTGTATCTGTCAGACTTTCAGGGCTGTGACCAGAATATATAAGAAAAACTTAAAAAAAAAAAAAAAAAGAAAAGAAAGAAAAAAGAAAAAGAAAAACCTAGAAGGCAAAAACCAATTTGTTGTGCCTCAGTTTGGCCTGGTCTACAGGCATTTAGCCCATGTGCTTGGGCAGATACTCTACCTCCTTCTGAGGGCTTTGGGTGACTTCTTGGCTCTTAGGTCAGGCTGCAAACCCTGATTGTTCTACTAGCTGCCCGGAATTGCATCTGAACAGAAGTCCCATGCCTTCCTGGCTGTGCCTGACAGAGCACTGACGTCCATCTCCAACGTATTTTCCCATTTTACAGATGTGGGCACTGAGGTTCAGAGGCCATTCCCTGGGGTGTCTTGGCTGGTTGGCTGCAGGGCTGGGACTGTTTAACTTGAACCCTTTGCCGAGGACTTCACAAGTTCCCACTGATGATGCCAGACCCAGCCCTCAGCAGGCTCTGCCTCCACAGCCCCATAGCTTCTCCTAAGCCCCACACGAGGTAAGTGTTATGTTAGGGCGAGTGGCTTGGGAGAAGTCAGGACAGAGCAGGATGTGACTCTCCTAGCCTGGGCTTAGAACCATCATATTGTCTTTCCCCACAGACCAGCTTTCTCTCAAAGGGACACCCATTCCTCTCCACTTTGGGGAGCCAAGTTACTGCAACATCCTTCCAGGTGCCCTGGCTTACCCAGGTCTGTTGGGAGTAGGGGGCGGTAAATGGGCTGAGAGGAGAGGTGTTTCTCTTGGCTTAGAATATAAAGTCCCACTCTCTCCCCATTTTACAGATGAGAACACAGAGGCCACTGCCCGAGATGACTCAGCTGGCAAGCCACAGGGCTGGGACTGAAATCCAGTCCTGAAATTGTTACATGGGACACACTGCTTGCAAATCCTCACACGCTGGGTCATTGGGTTGCCCGGAGCCTCTGTCACACTGTACTCTCTGAGCACACCCTGCCCAGGTTTAGCTGGACCCAAAGAATGTGCCCCACCTCAGGGGTGACTGGGCGAGGCAAGGCATCCTGGTGCGGTAGAAGGGCGGGTGGTCAGACAGGGGAAACACGGGCAATAAAGGACCAGAAGATTCTTTGTCCTGGGGAGATAAACAAGTCCAAAGCTCAGAGTACCCTGGGATACGTGCCACAAGTCAGCCTTGTAAATTCCAGGCTCCTGGCTGCCTTGGAGAATGCCGAGGAAGAGAAAATGGGTGTGAGGGGTGGGTCCCCTAAATTCCATGTACATGAGCTGGTCCCCATGGGCTTGGGGGCCCAGACAAAGCAGAGAAGGAGCTTTTGTTTGCTACGATCCCTCCCACCATGCATTTGGCCAGATCTTTAGGGAAAGGCCAAAGAGAAAAACTGAATCCAGCTTGCTTAGAGCCTTCCCTGCCTCTACTTTTGACATTTGTAAGAAAAAATTATTAAATTTTATTAGGCGATGCCCACCTTGTTTTTTTTTTTGAGGTGGTTTGGAACTAGCCACATTAGGTTAGGCCAGCTGGTCAGGGAGCCTGGGGACCCTGCTGTCACACCTTCTGGAACAGCATGGGGGACATCTGGTGGATGCTATTATGCCCAGCCTCCTCATGTGGGTGCTGGGACGGAACTCACGTGTTCTACCATTGAGCTGTGTTATAGTCCCAACTCTCTCATTCTCCCACTTAAATACAGATTTCAGGGATTGAGCTGGGGGCACGGCTCAGAGGTAGAGCACTTGTATTAGATCTGCTCACAAATTAACAACAACAACAAAAATAATCTAAAACAAAACCCAGAAAAATCCACCTGCCCAGTGCTGGCTTTGCAAGTTGTAAGAAACAACCTGAAGGTACAGGGCTAGAACACCCATGTTTTTGATTCTGTTGATTCTTAAGGCCGAGCAATTTTCAAAGGAAATCAAATCCCCGTGTTCTGAATTGTATAACAAATGAATCAAAATGTGGCTCTCAAGGCCCCTTCTGAAGTCTGAAAACAAGGGGCCAAGGACTAATATGTATAAGTGCGCTATTAATGAACATTTGCTCCCTGAAATCACCTTGGTAAGCACTTCCCTGAGCTGCAGAGGACAATGTGGGCTCCCAGGATGGGTAGGGCAGGGTGGGTACTGACTGCAATTCCATTGGCCACTGGAGTAACTTCCTAGACTCATCAGCTTCAGCTGGGGAACAGGCAAACATCAAGTCAGGAAGGACCTGGCACCAGGCCCACCAAGTTTCAAAGTTTTCAGGGTATTGACACAAACAATAGCCTGTTTCCATAGTAACCACGCCCAGGTGCAGATAAGAGCTGCCCTCTGGTTCTAGGCACTGAGAACAACAGGTCTCCACCCTGTAGGCCCTAATGTCACAGGCAGCAACGGCAGGGTTGTACCCCTAATGTAAAACTATCATCACCCACCAGGTGCCTACAACCAGCTCACTCACACCGTGTATGAGGCGTATCACTGCCAGGAGGGGTTGTCCACACAAAGTAACAAGTAAAGAAGTGTTCCCACAGATCCTGGTGGGATCTATAGATCATGGGAACCAGCCAAAGGAGGCATGCTCAGATGGCCAGTTACAAGACAGTGTTTAGATTCTGGGACACCTTACACCAAAGTCAACGCGGTTATTGTACAAATTCTGCTTCTCCCAGCAAACCTAGTCAGGCTAGAGGGGAATAAATGGATGGTGGCATCCTTGTGCCTCTATGGCAAAGCCAGCATCACACTAGACAGGTATCTGCGTGGACTCTTCGTGGCCTTACAGAGGCTAGGAGTCTAGGACAGACTTCAAGGCACAGAGGAGAAAGGGTGCCTCTGCCTCCCCTCCCCTCTAATCTCAGAGGGAAACAAATCACTCCACTTATGCAGCCAGGTATAGCAGGAAAAACAAACACCACAACAAAAATACAACACAGAAAGCAGAGTAGGGGATGTAGTTTAGTTGGCAGAGCGCTTGTCTAACACATACAAAGTTCAGGGTTTGCTCCCGGCACAGCATACATACAAAAAGATGTTCAAATTCCTTGTTGGCTACATAGGTGTTCCAGGCTAGCCTGGAACACACAAGATCCTGTCCTGTACACATACATACCAGTAAAAATGATCCAGATTCCCTGCCTGAACCCCCACTCCCCTTATTCCCAGACTGATGGCCTTGAGGTCACCATGGGTACTGCCAAGGGCTTTTGTAGGGCTCCCTGCAACTCTTGAGCTGCTTCCCTGCAGTGTCTTGAGGCTAGTGCTCCCATTCTGGAGTCAAAAGGAATAGGCCCAAATCTGTTTCCATATGAGCTCGGTCTGTAACTGTGAGGTGTCAATTGAACCCTTGTTAGTTTTGTCATCTGTAAAATGTCAACTGACCACTGTAATGAGCAGTAGACGGAAGGCTAAGCACATCATGAGTCATCAGCAATCACTTTTCCTGGCATGGACAGGGACGAGGGAGGGGCAGATGGTGGCACTGAGTACTGTGTCTAAGGCAGTGGAGGTATGTGACGGGTTGAAAAACATTTCTGAGATCGCAGATTCATGGGTATTAGGCAAGAAGATTTCTTGAAATCCATAGTTTCTATGGCTTTTTGATACAGGGTTTCTCTAGCTCCTGAGCTTGTCCTAGAACTAGCTCTTGTAGACTAGGTTGGCTTTACACTCACAGAGACCTGCCTGCCTCTGCCAACTGAGTACT